CATTGAAAACCAAAGTATCCAGGGGTTTGGGATCCTAGCTCTTTAAGTTTTTCTGCAGCTTTGAATTCTTCATTGCAAACAGCAATAAAAATGTTAGCCTTTATATGTGACTAGCTAGAAGATGTGCCTCATCAGTCTAGGCTAGGGTCTGACCACAAATATCCACGCATTTGGATTTGGCTATTTCAGCCCATTGTATCTAGAAATTAAGTAACACACCCTGAAAAGACTAGAGCTGGTTAGCCAGAGTGTTTTTGTTCTCTACTTTGACTTCTGAGTGCTAACACAGCCAGTTTCAAGATTTCTCTGCTAATATTAAAACCCATCATCATTCTGACCCCAGCTACCTGACAGCTACCTTCCATGAACATAAGCTGTTACTGCAACCAGATTGGAATCAAGAAACTATTTAATTATAGATGGTACTCAGGACAGTGGGTGATGGACATTCCACAGGATTTGGACCTAAATTATGGAGTTCACTACAGTGTTGGGTGCCTGTGATGGGACAGAGGTGCCCCGCACTCCGATCCCCCTGGAAGCTGCCTTCGCGGCGACCCAGGGGTCGGAGCGAGAAGCCCCAGCGCCAGCCGCACTACGAGCGGCGGCGTGCGGGCAGGAGCCGGAGGCGCCGGGGACAAACCAGGCAGCCCCAGTGCGGAGCGAGCGGCGATGTGCCAGGTGCTCCCAGGCTGCGGCGGTGGCAACACACCTGCACCCGCCGAGACCTCGCCTGACGTCACACGTGGGGTGGCACCAGATGGCAGGTGCGCCGCCCCACCAGAAGTAGACCCACGTACCGGGGTCGGAGCCTTCCCCCCCGGCCACAAGCGGCATGGGGATTTAAAAAGCCGGACACGGCTGCCTGAGGAGGAAGGACCCAAACTGCAGAGGTAAGCCCCCGCATTGGTGAGACAGCGGGGCAGGGAGAGAAAGCAGCCCAGGGCAGGCGAAGGGAGCCTGAGGGCTGGCGCGTTACGGCAGATGCCCCGCCAGCCGGACCGGATGCCGTAAGCATTCTGAGTCCTTAGGGCCCTGGGCTGGGGTCCATGAGAGGGGGCGGGGCGGGCCCGGACCCTCCTCTCCCTGCTACAGGAAGCCCGGAGACCCCTGGTGTTAAAGGGGCCCCCTGGGCCAAGAGGATAGTTGACTGGGGACGCCAGACGGCAGACCACTGGGTGAGGGAAGCACGAGACTCAGGCGGAGAGCACGGGGTGCCGGGGGCGCCCCAATAGACTCCTTTACACGTGGTGGAGAATGTGGGCATCGTAAGACCCCTGAACGAAGAGGGGGGGGAAGAGGGGGAAGCATTGTAGTGGCGGTGGTTTTGCCCTGCCCCCCTAAGGCCAAAGGCACCAAGATGGACCCAGGAAAATGGTGAGGGACCCCGTACACCCCCTTCCTAGGAAAATGTGGGAGACGGTGAGGGAGGAGACCCAGAAAATGCTCCAATGGGGAGTGATTGAGGAGTCGCAGAGCGCATTTCGGAGCCCTATCGTATTGGTCCCAAAACCCGATGGCTCGACGTGCTTTTGCATCGACTTCCGAAAAGTCAACAGTATATCACGCTTCGACGAACTATTGGACTGACTCGGGCAAGCGCGCTACCTGTCGACCATCGACCTAAGCAAAGCAATCCCCCTCACCGCCACCTCAAGAGAGAAAACAGCCTTCTCGATGCCTTTCGGATTATACCAATTCATTAGAATGCCGTTTGGCTTGCATGGGGCAGTAGCCACATTTCAACTCCTAATGGATAACGTTCTGAAGGACCATCACCAGTACGTGGCCGCGTACATTGATGACATTATAGCGTACAGCGAGTCATGGGAAGAACATCTGAGACGACTCCGGGCCATCCTGAGAACCCTGCAGGAGGCAGGGCTATCGGCCAACCCCCACAAGTGCCACTTCGGAGAGCGAGAAGTGACGTATCTGGGCTACACGGTAGGAAGGGGCCATGTAAAACCCCTAGTCAATAAGATGAGGGCCTTACGGGAATACCCCCCTCCCAAAACAAAGAGGCAGAAGCGGCAATTTTTAGGCCTAGCCAGTTATTACCGGCGCTTTGTACCACACTTCGCATCCCTGGCCGCCCCTCTAACAGACTTGACTGGAAAAGCGTGCCCCAACAAGGTGCCATGGATGGAGGCCTGTGACCAAGCCTTCCGAACACTTAAGAGTAAGCTGACCGAAGCACCGATACTAACCCAACCGGACTTTCACAGACCCTTTATAGTGCAGACTGACGCTTCCAAGATTGGGTTGGAGGCCGTCCTGTCCCAAAGGCACGCAGAGGCAGAACATCCCGTGATCTACATAAGTCGCAAATTGTATCCACGGGAACGTAAGTACTCGACCATAGAAAAGGAAGCGCTGGCCGTAAAATGGGCAATAGAGATGATGCGATATTACCTATGGGGCAGCCGGTTCACAGTCGTGACCGACCGTGCCCCGTTACGGTGGCTGCACAATATGAAAGACACAAATCCCCGAATTATGCGATGGTATCTTTCATAACAGACGTACGCCTTCAACGTAGCCCACCAAGCCGGGGCCACGCATGGAAACACGGACTTCTTCTCCTGAAGCGACGGCCAAGAAGGAGTCATGGATCACGGGGTAAAGGGACATTTAAGGGGGGAAGTGTGTGACGGGGCAGAGGCGCCCCGCACTCCGATCCCCCTGGAAGCTGCCTTCGCGGCGACCCAGGGGTCAGAGCGAGAAGCCCTGGTGCCAGTTGCACTACGAGCGGCGGCGTGCGGGTAGGAGCCGGAGGCGCCGGGGACAAACCAGGCGGCCCCAATGCGGGGCGAGCGGCGATGTGCCGGGTGCTCCCAGGCCATGGCGGCGGCAACACACCTGCACCCGCCGAGACCATGCCTGATGTCATGCGGGGGGCGGCACCAGATGGTGGGTGCGCCGGCCCGCCGGAAGTA